TCTGTGGAGTCCTCTGTAGCACCTCTCACATGTGGAGTACCTCAGGGATCTGTACTTGACCCTCTTCTGTTTTCCCTTTATTTACTTCCTCTGGGATATATTCTCCAGAAACATGGTATTTCTTTTCATGTTTACGCCGATGACAGCCAAATCTATGTTCCTTTGAAACCAGATAAACAGTACGCCTTGAACCAACTCCTGGAATGTATGGCGGAAGTCAGAGCATGGACATCACAGAACTTTTTACACTTTCATGAGAAAAAGACGGAGGTCTTGTTGTTTAAGCCCAGTGATGGTTCTAAAGTCCATGTTGATCTGGGTCCTTTAACCAAACATCTGACTGAGACAGCAACCAACCTGGGTGTGAGGCTGGACAATGATTTTAAACTGGATGCTCAGATTAAATCTGTGGTCAAGTCCAGCTTTTATCACCTGAGACAACTGGCCAAGGTCAAACCATTCCTGTCACAACATCATTTAGAGATTTTAATCCATGCTTTCATCACAACTCGTCTGGACTAATGTAATCCACTTTATGTGGGTCTGAGCCAGTCGTTACTGACTCGACTTCAGCTGGTTCAGAACGCTGCTGCTCGTCTTTTAACTGGCACCAGAAAATGAGAGCACATCATCCCTGTCTTAAAATCACTACACTGGCTCCCAGTTCGTTTCTGGATTAATTTTAAGGTTCTTTGGTTTGTATTCAAATGTCTTCATGGTCTCGCCCCACAGTATCTGTCCGACCTGCTCCAGCCGTACAATCCCTCACGCTCTCTCAGATCAGCTGATCAGCTGCTGTTGGCCGTCCCAAAGTCCAACAGGAGGCTGAGAGGTGACCGAGCGTTCTCAGTCGCTGCCCTGAACTGTGGAACGAGCTGCCTCTGCACGTCAGACAAGTTGACTCACTTCCTGTTTTTAAATCTGCTCTGAAGACTCTTTTTTTCCTCTGTGGCTTTTAACGCAGCTTGAAATGTTGGTTTTACTGTTTTATGTTATTTGTTTTATTGTTGTTACTGTTTGCTGCTTTATGATTTGGTAGTTCATTACTTTATGGTATTTGTTGAGTTCATAGTTTTTATGCCTGTATGTGTTAGTGTACAGCACTTTGGCCAACGGTGTTGTTTTAAAGTGCTTTATAAATAAAGCTGTATTGTATTGTATATATATATGTAATTTAACTTTACTTATGCCAAGATGGCCGTGCTCAGAGCAGTTGCAGCTTCACAGGCTCCTGGTACCATCCCAGTTTTTAGAAGTTTTGATATTGACTCTGCCTGACTCTGCACAATTTATGCGTGTGAACTATAGCCGAACCAAATTCATGAGAATAGGAGCGGATTTGCCATGAAATATAGCAGAAATCAGCAACAAACTCAAATCTACGCTTGGCAGAACGCAGATCTTAAAGTCATCTACCTGGAAGGTGCAGCAGAGGCGTTCCAATGGGCAGAGGAGGAAGCGCTGCTCCCGGCTTAAGAAGAGAGGATGCCGG